GTCCCACCCACCCGCGCCGGACCCCCTCGCAGCACCAGCCCTGGTGCCGGGCAGCGGTGGGGAGCCTTGTCCTCAGCCCTCCGCCCCAGACCATCGCCCGGCCCCGGGGGGCTCAAGCTGCCCCTGTCAGTGAGGATCTCCCCTTCAAAGGTGACTTTTTTTCTCCTCCTTCTCTGTTCTAGCAGCAGAGACGTTGTTCACAGCGCCAGTGGCACTTGCTGGTCTGTACCAGCTCATGTTCTTTGGTAACCAGTTATCAGCTTTTGCTTTCTTCTGGAAGCTGGAGGAACCAAGCAGTGCTCCGGAGATTGCTCACTCGCTTGTGGAGACTGCTTTCTTCTGTAATACTTTTTATTTACTATTAGCTGAAGATCTGTTTGCCTGAAGCACAGCTAACACATCTGAAAGGCAGCACAGTTTCCCCATCAGTACCAACCTAAGAATACATGTTCATAAGTGAACTTCTTTTTTTATTGCCAAAATTATGGTTTTTTTTCCAAAGAAAGCTACTGTCCTTGCTGCAGAATTGCTCTTTTCCACCAGGATTTTGCACATCTGTGTAAAACCCGTACCATGAAGCAGCCTATTCTGATTTTTCCCTCTGATTTTGCTGCTGGCCAGCCCTGCGACCTGTGCTCTCCGCTCCCAAGCCTCATCCCAGCTCCGTCACCGCTCTGCTCTTGGGAACCCGTGGCCACGTCAAAGGAGTTAATTCCCCAACGATGGTAAGGCCAAGAGCATGCATTTACCCAAGGGTCTCTCATAAGGTTGCATATATTTATTATTTGTTTTCCTGTTTTGTTCCAGTTAGTGAAGCTCTTTTGCTTTAAGCTGCCGATGTTCCAAGCAGCAGCAGAGCTGGGGACGCTGAAACACGCAGCCCCCTCCTTCCTTGGGTCCGGACTCAAGCCATGCTTCTTCCAAGGGGGAAAACCCAGCATTAACCACACAGCCGGGTTTGTAAAAATGACCAATTTCTGATTTAGGGGAAAATGCAGGTTTTTTACTTAAAGCCCCTATAAAGAGTTATTCCAATTCACCCAGGCACCCCGTGCAGCCCCTCTCGTTGGTTTTTCCACCGGGGTGTCTGCCGTTGTGCTATTGGTTTCACGCTTTCCCGCAGCTCCCGCGCAGCGCGTTCGCCTTGTTCGGCTGGGTTTTGTGACAGCAAAACAAAAAGAGGAAGAGGGGGGAAAAAAACCACTTTCAAAAATAGGAAAATGTTTGCGGTGCTGCGATCGCTCTGGCAGCGGCTCGGAACAAGCGCGGTGCTGAAACCGGTCTGCCCGCCCGAGGTCTGCAAGTAGAAGGTCTGCAAGTAGAAGGTCTGCAAGTAGAAGGTCTGCAAGTAGAAGGTCTGCAAGTAGAAGGTCTGCAAGTAGAAGGTCTGCAAGTAGAAGGTCTGCAAGTAGAAGGTCTGCAAGTAGAAGGTCTGCAAGTAGAAGGTCTGCAAGTAGAAGGTCTGCAAGTAGAAGGTCTGCAAGTAGAAGGTCTGCAAGTAGAAGGTCTGCAAGTAGAAGGTCTGCAAGTAGAAGGTCTGCAAGTAGAAGGTCTGCAAGTAGAAGGTCTGCAAGCCGCAGCGGCTGCTGTCACGTAGTCACACCAGAATTTCTGCTTTCTCTCGTAGCGTGGTGCTGTTGGTGTGGGGAGAAGACGCAGCGTTAATCGGTGGGTTAACTAGAGGTCGCGAGCTGGAAGTCGAAGTTATTTATGTTTTCAAAAAATTCACCTTGCTGGCTTTGAAGTAAAACCACTGCAGCAAAATGCCCCACAAGTGGAGAATTCCTCTGGGACCTGGCTTGATGGGTTGGGTCGGTGATGCTGCGGGGACTCAGCATCCGGCGCTGCTGTCGGGGCTTGGTTCCGCCGGGAATGTCGGTACAGCAGAGCCTGTTCCCCTGAGCCGGGTGGTAATGTGGATTTTTTTACCCTGCAGCTGGGTTTTAGTCGGAATTCTTTTTGAAATCTCCCTTGCAGGGTCTCGGCCCCCGGCTCCCAGGAGGCTCTGCTCAGCGGACCCAAGCAACCAACCCTTTTCAACCCGGAGTTTGTCCAGCTTCAGATCTGTGGATTTATTATTAGGAAGCCCTTTTGCATGCGGTGTGCCCGTCTCCTGCTTCACACTAGGAGAGAAAACCAATTTCCTCCTGCGCTGCTGCGTGACGAGAGCCCCGGCCGCCCGCCCGTCCATGTGGAGGACAGCCACGGGGCCCTTCCAGCTGCCCAAAGCACATCCAGCTCTTCGATTTTTTCAGAGTTTGGGCACCTTAAAGGGCTATTACAATGGCTATTACACCTTAAAAGGCCTCCTCTGCCTCCCCCATTCTTCCTGGCTCTGTTCTTGCCATCACTGAAGCGGAGTAGAAACACCCCTGAAGGAAGGTCCCATCCCTGGAGACCACGGGGCATGGCGTCCTCCCCGAGCTCCTGCCCTGACAGCTCCTGGCAGCCATCGCAGTCGGCGGCGAGGTGGAGGTTTTAATTACAAGAGAGCTGAGGAAGTCTAGAAGGTTGGTTCCTGTCCCTTTAGGGAGACCGGCGGGGACACAGGTCACCGGGGGGAAGGGGAGGGGATGGGTGTCTGTGAAAGGTGGTAGCCGAGCTCCGATCCCTCCGCTTCACCGAGGCGCAGTGCTGGGAACGCGTGGTGCTGACAGTGCGACAGGAGCTTGGGGGAACTGTAAACAGGAGACTGTAGGTAGCCAAGAGCTGCTGAAACTCCTGGGAGAGGCAAACTGTGGGTGGCAGAGCTGCTCCATGTCATAGAATCACAGAATGGTCGGGGTTGGCAGGGACCTCTGGGGATCCCCCAGCCCAACCCCCTGCCCAAGCAGGGTCACCTACAGCAGGCTGCACAGGACCGTGTCCAGGCGGGGCTGGAATATCTCCAGAGAAGGAGACTCCACAGCCTCCCTGGGCAGCCTGGGCCAGGGCTCCGTCACCCTCAGAGGGAA